GAGGGAGGAAGAAGATGAATAGTGTTGATTTGTTTTGGGCAGTTGGATGGTCCAGATGAAAAGTGATAGATGCAAGATTTTTTTTAGGTGCCTGACAATATTAGAAGTGTGTGCTAGGTGGCGATATCTTCTTAGTCCTTATACAATGCAAGATACTTAGAGATATGCTTAGTACTATAGTAATCTGAGTATCTTAAGCACCGGTGTTTATTTCTGTAGAAGGTAGATAGTTGATAAAAATAGTGTTTTCTGTCAAACCCTAAAAGGCGCAACTTTTATGTTCGTTTCTCCCCCTTTGAATAGTTAGTCTCTTGGTTTTTGTTTCAGAGGGAAAAGTTTAGGCTGGCCAGCATTTCCCTAGAAGGAAATCACGCACGCACGCGCTTGCATGCGCTGGTACGTGCATGATTGGTGCACGTCGACGTCAAAATGGCACCGCGTGCGTAACATAACGTACGTGCGCTCAAAACCTGAATCACGTGGGGAGCTCAGCTGGACAAACGTGCGATCAAACGTGCTACGCGTGGGAGCTGTACAAATTGCGGCCGCAGTTTAAAAATGTGACTTTGGCTCGGCTCTCTCCCCCGCTACAGTAGGAGAGGCGATTTTTTCCCCTTCCCCGTTCGATCTAGTTCGCCGGCGGCGGCTCGCTGGTTTCCCCCCCTCTGCCGGCCGCTTCGGCGGCGGGAGGGTGGGGAAACCTCGGTTCCCGTCTGTACATAGCTAGGATGGAGTGGGTGGTTCGCCGGCAGCGCCGTGGAGAGGAAGGCGCTGTCGGGTTGGTGGTTTGTGGCGGCGGTGATCTTCTCCGGTGGCGGGGTTCTGCGGAATCCGACCACTTCCCCGCCTCCTTCCTGGTGCTCGTAACTCGGCGGAGTTGCCGTGCGCCTTCTTCCCGTGCCGGAGTCCGTAGGCGGCGGCTCCGGTTGTTGAAAGTTTGGAAGATGCAGGTGATGAGGTCCAGATCGAAGGCGATGGCGACGATGCAAGGTGGAGGCCCTTTGGGTTCGAGGTCCGTTGACTTCCCGACCGCCATGGGACTCCGTCCGATCCAAGGTTGTAGAGGAGGAGCGGCGGCGGCGCGCCAGCGGCACGTCTTCATCGACGGCGGCGTCTTCCTTATCCTTAAGGACTTGTTTGTAATTGTCTTATCTTTTGAGGACTGTTCTGTAAGGGTACTGGATTAATATCACTTGGTCTTTCCCGCAAAAAAAAAA